TAAATATTTATGGCGAATTATTTTTTTTAAATATTATATAAATATTTTATAAATATTTCTATATATAAAGAAAAAAGTATCAAAATCTTTATTCATAATATTATTAAAATATAGACTGAATATTTTATATAATATTTATAGTAAACAAAAAATAAATATTTATAGTAATATTTTGTAAATATTTCTATAAATAGTATATATAAAAAATATAAATGTAATTATTTAAAATTATTAAATTAATGAGGAAATAAGAAAATCTAAATTTCAATTGGTAATGTATACGAGAAAACAGAAAAATACTCGTATACAGAAAAAATTCTTTGAATCAAAGAAATATATTTTGTTAAATATAATTTCTTAACTTAAAAAATTTGTTAAATTTTAGAAAATATGTAATAAATATAAAGTAATATTTTTTAAATTTATAAAATAAGCTGTAAAATTATGAATTTGTAGAAAGAAAATGATTTCCTTACAAGAAAATTAGAAGAAAATTAGTTTTTTTTTAATGTAAAAACTGTGTTTAAATAAATATAAAGAAAACTAAGAACATATATATTTTAAAAATTTTAAAAAAGTTCAGAAAAGAGAAAAAAGTTTATAAATGTATACATTTTAATAAATATTTTTATAATATTTATGATAAATATTTATGATCTATTAAAACTAAGGTCATAAAAATATTTATGAAATATTTTGGTAAATATTTATAAAATATTCAAATAAATCTTATAAATATTTTGTAAATATTTTATAAATGTTTGACGCTGTCTGGGATATTACTACCGTTGCTCAGTTGTTATTTATTGTTATTACCGATTATTCGATCATCGTTATTCAATTATTATCCGCTTGCGGCTATTATCACACGATTGTGGAACTTACTATAATTATTATAAAAAAATAATAATATTCGAATCTCAAGGTCGCAAGAAAATTGAGCAATCACAGTCAAATTTTCTTTGGTCGTAACCCAGCGAGAACGTAGACATCGATTCGACATCTAACCGACGTCGAAGAAATCTAAGTTATATCTAGTCTAAATGCACGTCTAGAAAAATAGCAATTTAGACGTCTTCTATTTTGAGTAAATTCTAATGTTTTAGAATCCATTCATAATATATTCACCATTAAAAGAGAGTTTTCGATAAAATTTTGGAATTTTATTTTATCGATTATTTACAATCTTTCTAGACGTCTATTCGATATTGAATCGACGTCTAATATCCCAGTGAGAAATGACTTATCGATCGACGTCGAAAAGACGTCGAACCGACGTCTATTTGACGATTTCGACATCGATAAATAAGTCATTTCTTACTGAGATCGCGCGCGTTTTACATAAAAAATTTATTTTAAGTGGAAACATCAGTTTTTTTTTTTTTTAGATTTCCGATTCAATTATAGTATTACAAAGATAGGAATGTCAAATTACTCGAAAAACATTAAACTGGAAGGAATGATCAAAGTCATTTTGCAAATAACTACATAAACTTTAGAGATATTAAATAAAACAGACAGGCGAATCAACGCGTGTATTTGCTAGGTACGTTATAATATACTGTGAACACTGTAAGTATACATTTTATAAGTATAAATTATAAGAACATCATTGGAGTCATTGGAACACCGCGTGCCGCTCGATCGTCAGGTTAAGCGACGCAGTCAGGATGGATAGGGGTGACCACTTCGAGTTCGAAATTTTCGAGGCAGGCTTCGCGAAAGTTTTAGCGTGTGTTTTTGACAATCTTCGGTTTCTAGCAGTTTACAAGACAAAGAAAATTAGGAATTGGTTATTTTTATGAAACAATCTAGTGAGAAATGACTTATTGATCGACGTCGAAATGACGGTCTAAAGACATCTAAACGTGGACCGTTTTTAGGTCGATATAGATCTTAATTTAGATTAGACGTAGATGGTAGATAGACGTTTCATATAGACGTCTAGTAAATGTCGAATCGACGTAACCTTTCTCGCTGGGAAGAAGAACGATCGACTGTGATTGGTAAATTTTCTTACAATCTTGCGATTTGCAATTAATGTAGAACCGGCCTTAAAGTCATTCTACATTAGTTGCAAGCAGCCAATTTGCATGATCGCAAGCAGCACTATTTCTGATTGTAAGCTAGTCGCAAGCAGTAATCGCAAGGTTTACCAACGTTTAAAGCGTCTTCTACAATGGCAGTAGGAGTAGTAGTAAGAAATAAGCAGTAAGCAAATTGACCAATTCCATTCTCACGTTTCAAAAATAATCGATTGTGATTGGTCTATTTACTTACTGCTTATTTCTTACTACTATTCCTACTGCCATTGTAGAAGACGCTTAAAGCGTCTTCTACAATGGCAGTAGGAGTAGTAGTAAGAAATAAGCAGTAAGCAAATTGACCAATTCCATTCTCACGTTTCAAAAATAATCGATTGTGATTGGTCTATTTACTTACTGCTTATTTCTTACTACTATTCCTACTGCCATTGTAGAAGACGCTTTAAGCGTCTTCTACAATGGCAGTAGGAGTAGTAGTAAGAAATAAGCAGTAAGCAAATTGACCAATTCCATTCTCATGTTTCAAAAATAATCGATTGTGATTAGTCTATTTACTTACTGCTTATTTCTTACTACTACTCCTACTGCCATTGTAGAAGACGCTTAAAGTTTGCGCCTCGGCGATGTTGCGACCAATCAGTATCGAGCTCCGCATATATAGGTTTATAGCATCAACTTTACTTGTCTGGTCTTGTTTGTTTGTTTCCATATTTAAACGTAGGTACTGCTCTGCATGTTCATCTTGACGTCTGTTCCTTTTTCGTGTGACAGAGTCTTATGGATGTTAATGAAACATTCTCGTCACTGATTGGCTGTGAAATGCGACTAAGGCTGGCGTCCCATGGAACGGAATGCGCGCACCAATTACAATCATTCTATTCTATTCGCGAAAAAAATAGAGTAACTGTAATTGGTGCACGCGTTCCGTTCCGATGAGAATTCCGTTCCATGGGACGCTAACCTAAAGGCTGGTTATGATGGCCGTAATCCGTTAACTTATGCTGGAACCGTAAAAATTGACCAATCATAGTCGAATTATAGAAGAATAATCGATTGTGATTAGCCAATTTTTTATGGTTCCGGCATAAGTTAAGGGCCATCACACACAAAATTACATAAATGCATATGCATAGCATAAAATCGTATGGACCAATGAGCATCGAATATTAAGTCGCCATATTGATGATTGATATTTAATATTCGATGCTCATTGGTCCATACGATCTTATACTATGCATATGTATCTATGTAATTTTGTGATGGCCTTAACGGATTATGGCCATCATAAACCAGATTTGTATGTACTTGACTGGAAAAAAACTCCGGTTGAAAAACTATTCTTTTAAATCGTTTGTATTTCGTATCAAGAGTTTTGAAGTGCAATTGAAAAGATTTGTGAGTCATTCTATTACTTCTAATTAATTATTCTTTTTTGGACCATGTATTTAGCCGGGAATAATGACCGGAGGTAAATTAAACAAATGTTCGTTTGTATTTCGTATGAGGAGTTATGAAGTATCATTAAAAAGGTTTGTGAGTCATCCAGATAATTTTAATTAAATATTAAATAATCATATATTTGGCCGAAATATCGATCTTAAACGCTGCTGTGGAAGTACCGTCAGGCACGATCGGTGTACTATCTAGTATTTCAATATTCCTGGTTCTTTTTCAAGTAATTATGTACAATAAGGTCTTTTTCGAACTTTGAAATTTTTTTGCAGCTCTTTTGATAAAAATATTTATTTTGACTCCAACATTGATAATCAATCGGGGGAGTCCGAAAAATATGCAAGGTATATATTGTTTTAACTTCTTTTTTATTTTTTTTTACTTGACAAACGTTGCTGCTTTCCCATAATTTAAACAAGTTACTGATCTTTTAGTTACATCCCAGACAGCACAAAATCTTCAGAGAATGTTCTAGGATATTCTTAGAATGTATGAATGTCCTTAGAACCTCCTTAGAACGTTCTTTGAAGATTTGTGCTGTATGGGATTATGTAACTGCAATATCGAACGACTAATGGGGGGCTGCGCCCCCTGCACCCCCCTCAAAACTAACCCAACCTATCGTCACATTAACCGTTAATCATTGCTTATTAAAAAGTTATTAAGAAAAAAAGTTGAACACTTTAATAAACAATGGCTGACGGTTAATGTGACGATAGGTTGGGTTAGATTAATTTTGAGGGGGCTGCGCCCCCCGCTAGTCGTTCGATATTGCAGTTATATAATGTGACTAAAAGATCAGTAACTTGTTTAAATTGTGGGAAAGCAGCAACGTTTGACAAGTGAAAAAAAAATAAAAAAAAGAAAATAATATATAACTTGCATATTTTTCGGACTCTCCCGATTGATCATTAATGTTGGAGTCAAAATAAATATTTTTACCAAAAGAGCTGCAAATAAATATCAAAATTCGAAAAAGGCCTTATTGTACATAATTATCCGAAAAAGAACTAAGAGTATTGAAATGCTAGATAGTACACCGATCGTACCTGACTGTACTTCTACAATAGCGTTTAAGATCGATATTTCGACCAAATACATGATTTTTTAATATTTAATTAAAATTATCTGGATGACTCACAAACCTTTTTAATAATACTTCATAACTCCTCATACGAAATACAAACAATACCATACCGAACCTTTGTTTAATTTACCTCCGGTCATTATTTCCGGCTAAATGCATGGTCTAAAAAAGAACAATTAATTACAAGTAATAGAATAACTCACAAATCTTTTCAATTGCACTTCAAAACTCTTCATACGAAATACAAACGATTTAAAAGAATAGTTTTCCAACCGGAGTTTTTTTCCGGTCAAGTACATACGAATATAAACCAGCCTTAAAGATTGGAATGTAGAATCTCATATCGCGAGTTTTGCGCCTTGCCACACTGCCATCTTACGATTGGCTGCTTGCAACTAATGTAGAACAACCTTTAAGCAACACCGGAAGTACATTTTCTATTCGAGGACGATTTTTCACTTGACTAACGTAGTAATCGTAGCGTTTTGTTCGTCTCCTTTCCGTTTTATCTCTTAGCACGAGACGTGAGCAAAATGCAGAAGGTGAGGTGTAAAATTCTATTTATAAACGTAATCTTATAATTTTCGAATGTATTCTGTTTAGATCTATAATACGTGATATTTCTCTTTGTAGAAACAAAAGGAACCGATCCAGTCCGTTCAAGTCTTCGGACGCAAGGTAAGCCATAGTGCCAAGAATAAGTAAGGTTATATTCGTGCATGTGGTTTCCGTTTATATCATGTGTTTCTTAAAACAAATTTTCGAATATTTTAGAAAAGCGCAACTGCAGTTGCCTACTGTAAACGTGGACGTGGAAATCTCCGCGTAAATGGCCGACCGTTGGAGCTGGTTGAACCACGTGTGCTCCAATATAAGTTGCAAGAACCCATCTTGCTTTTGGGCAAGGTAAGTTAATGTGATAAAAATTATTTGAAAAAGCAGTATCAGTAATTATCCAATGCCAAGTCTTAATACTATTGATTTATCATCCTTGTTCCTGATCTCAGCATACTCTATTCTGTGATGTCTATTTATTCCGAACATGATAATTCATGATTAGAAAGAAGGATTCTGAGGTTACGAATACAAATAACGTGTAGTTTTTTTTTTTTCTATATAGAAATGCTTTCCACAACAATAATAACACTTGATTATATTTTATGTTTCAGGAGAAGTTTGTAGGAGTTGATATCAGGGTGAGAGTAAATGGTGGGGGTCATGTGGCACAAATCTATGCGATTCGTCAAGCTATTTCCAAGGCACTCGTTTCTTATTATCAGACGTGTAAGTGAAATTATAAGATGAATATTATTTATATGATTGAATGTAGTTTGTTAGATGGTGATAATATGATTAATGTTTCAGATGTCGATGAAGCTAGTAAAAAGGAGATAAAGGACATCCTTATTCAGTATGACCGTACTCTGCTAGTTGCTGACCCAAGGAGGTGCGAGCCAAAGAAATTTGGAGGTCCAGGTGCCAGAGCACGATACCAGAAATCCTATCGTTAATATCCACTTATTACAGTTTATTCATACAATTGAATAAAAAAGAAATATAAAATTTACGTGTTGGTTTATCTTCCCTTTATATATGTATCTAATAAAAAACTCAATTTATAATAAATTTATATTAAAACTTGCTTTGAGTAAAAAGAAGTCCATTAACATTAACAGAATTATTTTCGGTCTTTATTTACATATAAAGATCCATAAAATTTATTTTTACACGAGCATAGTTTATATTGGTTAAAAAATCTCCACTACAGGCTGCCATTGTTCCTACCTACAAATCGATGTAGTAGTACGACTCAACAACGGCTCAGGCACGATTTCATTTTATCATAATATGTACAATCTGATAACTGGAAGATAATCGAACATTTAACGGCAAAAATAAACATAAGTGCTCGATTGATCGACTATCTCTAAACATGATGATATATAAATACGAGTAACGCAATATTAAGCAAGGTAATGTAACATCTAACTAAGCAATACATCGTGGATCTCGGGAAATCTTCTTTCAGAGGGAAAAAACAATTTTTTCGAAGATGAAGACACGATTTAATACTTACGATCTTGTATGTTCTGTAACTGAATTACAAAGGTAAGTCGACAAAAATTTGTCTTGAATTTGATAGGATATTAAGGTTACAAGTTCAATATTCAAATCATATAACCTTATTGACATATTTCGTTATCGAAACGCAACTACGATTTTAGTAAATAAATATTTTACTAGATACTTAATTTGCTATAATTACTTGATTTGCGATAATTATCTACTGTTGTTACGTATATGTTGATATAAATTGTGTCAACATATTGATATTAATTTACTAAGATTGTATAAACTATATATAAATCTACTTACTTCTTGCTACTTACTGCTTAATCATTCTATTATTTATTCCTCATGTATCTCAAATCTTTCAGGCTTATTGGCATGCGTGTCAATCAGATATATGATATAGATCATCGTACATATCTAATACGCTTTCAACGTAGTGAGGAAAAATGTGTTTTGTTACTTGAGTCTGGTAACAGAATCCATACAACAGGTTTTGAATGGCCAAAAAATATAGCTCCTTCAGGTTTCTCTATGAAAGTACGTAGAAGAATAATAAAATTTGGAATTACAAAGTAAATTGTATGTCATGTTAATAATGATATATATTTAAATGTCATATTATTAATGATATATGTTTGTTTCATAACCAATGAAATGTTACAGATGCGCAAGCATCTTAAGAATAAGAGATTAGAAAGTCTCACTCAAGTTGGTATGGATCGAATAATAAATATGCAATTTGGAAGTGGTGAGGCTGCATATCATATAATTTTAGAGGTGTATGATCGTGGTAACATAATCCTTACGGATCATGAAATGGTAATTTTGTATGTCTTAAGACCTCACACAGAAGGAGATAAAATTAGGTAAGTATACAAAATATGAAAAAACATAGAATACATGGACATATATAAAATATTGACAAACTGATGTAATACTTAGGTTTGCTGTAAGAGAAAAATATCCATTAGACAGAGCTCACAGTGAAGCAATGCCACCCATAGAAGAAATTCATGAGCATCTTCAGAAAGCTAAGGAAGGGGAAAGTCTCAAAAAAGTGTTAAATCCATTATTAGAATTTGGCTCAGCTGTGATTGATCATGTTTTACTTAAAGCTGGATTTGCCTTTGGTTGCAAGATTGGCAATGATTTTAACATCATTGAAGATATGCCAAAATTGATTCTGGCACTTGAAGATGCCACTAATATCGTGGATTATGCAAAGAAGAATATCTCAAAAGGCTATATCATTCAAAAGAAAGAAGCAAAACCGACTCAAGACGGCAAAGAGGATTTTATATTCGCTAATATAGAATTTCATCCCTTGTTATTTGAACAATACAAAAATCAACCATACAAAGAGTTTGATTCTTTTGATGCCACAGTAGATGAATATTTCTCTACAATGGAAGGACAGAAGCTAGATTTGAAGGCTTTACAACAGGAAAGAGAAGCTTTAAAGAAGCTGGAGAATGTAAAGAAAGATCATGACCAGAGATTGATTACATTAGAGAAGACGCAGGAGGTTGATAAGCAAAAGGCAGAATTGATTTCAAGGAATCAGGTTCTGGTAGATAACGCCATTTTGGCCATACAGAGTGCTTTGGCAAATCAGATGTCTTGGCCGGACATTCAAGTACTATTAAAAGAGGCTCAAGCTAGAAACGATCCGGTTGCGTCGGCTATAAAACAACTGAAACTTGAGACAAATCATATTTCCTTACTGTTGCACGATCCTTACAAAGACAGCGATGAAGAATCCGAGTTAAAGCCTATGATGATTGATGTAGATTTGGCTCATACAGCATTTGGTAATGCCAGAAAATATTACAGTCAGAAAAGATCGGCGGCTAAGAAGCACCAGAAAACGATAGAGTCGCAAGGGAAAGCTTTGAAGTCAGCAGAGAAGAAAACGAAGCAAACATTGAAAGAAGTGCAAACCATACATAGCATTAATAAGCTGAGGAAAGTGTACTGGTTTGAAAAGTTCTATTGGTTTATTACATCTGAGAATTATCTAGGTAAGTTTCTTTTTCTAATAGATCTGTATCGAGATTTAATCGATCATAATTTAAACACATAGTGATCGGTGGAAGAGATCAGCAGCAAAATGAGTTGATAGTGAAAAGATATCTAAGAGCAGGAGACCTATATGTTCATGCAGATTTAACCGGTGCTAGTTCCGTCGTGATAAAAAATCCCACTGGTAATCCTGTACCGCCAAAATCATTGGCAGAAGCAGGTACAATGGCTATTGCATACAGGTATTGTTCCCGTTTCTACAGTTGTAGCTTACGAATTTACACTTCTCTTCCAGAAAATGGAAGACAAATAATAATTATTCTTCTAATATCATAATTCTTTTATTTATAGTGTCGCCTGGGACGCCAAAGTAGTGGCGAGTGCGTGGTGGGTGCATCACGACCAAGTGTCAAAGAGCGCGCCTACTGGAGAATATCTCACTACTGGATCTTTTATGATACGCGGGAAGAAAAATTATCTGCCACCGAGTCAATTAATTATGGGATTAGGTATTATGTTTCGACTGGAGGAAAGTTCGATGGAGCGACACAAGGACGAAAGAAGGGTCAAAGTCATGGACGAGGAGAGTGAAAATGCGGATTCAATAATCGAGGATGACAAAGAAATAGAATTGGAAGGCGACTCGGATGAAGGTAAGTGATGTAGCAAGTCTTAATTCGAAAAAATTATCACGATCTAATTCAGTTTGAATGCTTTCTAATTTTTTCATATTAGATGAGAATTTAGAAGACAAGAATGCATTAAATCCAATTCACGAGGAGGATCATTTGGAATCGGAATTGTGCACAATAGAAAATGAAGACGTAAATAAAGATGAATGTGACGATGAAGAAAAAGATACGAAATGTCAATTTCCCGACACACAGATAAAACTTGATCTTTCAGGCCCAAGGTAAGTAAATATCAAGCTCTTGATTTCATAATTAAAACCCTCATGTAACACATGTGATATACATGATGTATTTTTGCATAAAACAGAGTAAAACTACATGTTGATAATAATCAGCCTTTAATAACAACGACAAAGGATACGGAAGAAAATATAGTTTACTTAGGAGATGATAAGCCTGTTATAATAAACACATCGGTTAAGGAGAAATGTGCAAAAACAAAAAATAAAGCACAATCAAAAGAGCCAAAAGAAAAGATTGAAAAGAATGACAAGACCGAAGGTGATAAGGATAAAAAGGAAGAGCAGCCTGCGTTGAAAAGAGGACAGAAAGGAAAACTAAAGAAAATGAAAGAGAAATATAAGGATCAAGATGAGGAAGATAGGCGACTTTCGATGCTTGTTTTGCAGGTATTTTCTCTTTCATTTTCGTATCGTACTCGTTAAACAATTAATCGAGTACTTTGCGTTTCTATTATTGTCCAACTATTTAGTCGGCAGGTGCAGCTAAAGAAGATAAGAAAAAAAACAGGACCAAAGACCCGTCAGGTCCCAAACAACAAGGGAAGAGAAAGTCAAATGCAAGAGCGAACGTTTCTGCACCATCTATGCATATGATAGATAACGCTGACGAGGAAGATACAGGCCCAACTCCCGAAGTCGATATGCTTGATCAGTTAACGGGCAAGCCCTTTTCAGAGGACGAATTATTGTTTGCTGTGCCTGTAGTGGCACCTTATAATACTTTACTGAATTACAAGTAAGTTATTAAGTAAAATGTAGTCGTGTTTCATTAATAATGTATTTCAATATTTCTTTTAGATTTAAAGTGAAATTGACACCTGGTATTGGAAAAAGGGGCAAAGCTGCCAAGACAGCTATAGCAGTGTTTCTCAGAGATAGAGAAATATCTTCACGTGAAAAGGACTTGTTGAAGGCAATCAAAGATGAGATGATAGCTAGAAATATACCTGGGAAAGTGAAAATAAGTGCCCCTCAGATTCAAAAACTTAAGAAATAATTAGTTTGGTGATGATTTTAACTTTGATGATTACAAAGTTACTGGTGGTTATAACATACCTTGTAGCTATAACATACAAGGCTTAATTGAAGATGTTTTGAAAAATATGTATTATCTTGTGATCGCAGTCTCTGGCAAATATTTTAATAATCTTTAATGAATGTTAGTTAACAGAAAAATTACGATATCGAGATTACAAGTTTTTAGTAATGGCAAAACTCTCTTAAAAACTGAAATAAAATAATTAGAGTAGTCGATGTACATAAGAAATTACAAAATTCATTACTTCTATTCTTAATGCACACTTTAAATAAGTTTTAAATATTTAAATTCAGATATACTATGTAAATAAAAGTAATATGATACATATGTATATATAAAAAAGCTAAGTCGTTTGATTTTATAACTTATTACTTATCTTGCTAATAAATTCTCATGCCACATAAAATGATAGAATTTTTTACTTTATATTGGGTATGGGAAAAAGTTCGTGGCGTTTTAGTAAAATTCAAGTGTTTTTCTTAGAGTATTAAAATCAATTTATTCAAACTAAATATGCTCCATTATTTTTGATAATATTTTGCCATTTTTGGGGTAGAGCCATAATTCCATCGCGATAGAACTTATGTGGTTTCTGGTCGAAAAATTGCTTCAAGTGATTTTCACAGGCCTCTTTTGAAGCCAGCTTTACAGCATTAAGAGAGTTCTGCAGAGACCTAAACAAATGATGGTCTGAGGGTGCTATGTCAGGACTATACGGTGGATGCATCAAAACTTCCAAGCTCTTGAAATTTTTGCCGAGTCATCAAAGATGTGTGTGGTCGAGTGTTGTCGTGATGGAAGACGACACCCCTCTTATCAATTCTGGCCGCTTCCTCTCAATTGCTTGTTGTAATCTCTCCAGTTGTTCACAGTAGAGTTCGGAATTAATTGTTTGACCGAGCGGTAACAGCTCATAGTGAGCGATTCCCTTCCAATCCCACCACACACACACATCACCTTCTTTGTCGTCAATCCAGGTTTTACGATTGCTTGCGCCTTCTCTTCTTTCTCTGTCCACGATCTTTTTCGAGTTCGATTGTCGTACGTGACCCATTTTTCATCACCAGTTATCATTTTCTTCAGAAATGGCTCAATTTCATTCCGTTTCAGTAGCGTATCGCAAATGTTAATTCGGTCTATCATGGTCTTAACACTCAACTCGTGAGGAACCTAAACATCGAACTTCTTTTTTTGTATCCAGCTTTGTGTAAATGATACAAAACTGTTTTGTGGTCGATCCCTAGTTTCCTGGCAATCTCCACACTACTCACATGCTTATCACGCTCAACTTTTTCCATGATTTCATCGGACTTTTCGGTGATTGGTCGACCGGAGCGAGGTTCATCTTTGACATCGAAATTTCCAGTACGAAAGCGAGCGAACCATTTCCGTGCTGCTTATTTTGATAGAGTATCTTCATCGTAAACAGCACAAATTTTTTCACAAGCCTGTGCAGCGTTCTTGCCTTTATCGTAGTGATACTGCAAAATGTAGCGATGAAATGTTTTCCTTATTTATATCCATTTTCAAAATAAAATAATTTTTGATCCACTTCACCAATTTCAATCTTTTCCGGCTCAAAACGAAGGTTGAAATGTCACGCGTGTTTAGTGTTGTCAATGCGATTACTAGTTACCGAGTGCTAAGCATAATGCCATCTAGTGCCAAACGCCACGAGCTTTTTCCCACACCCAATATATAGAATTTAATAAAGATTTTACAACTGAGTCAAAAACTTAAGTGCAAATTGTAGAAAATAAATAAAAATAAAATGGTAAAGATCACATACAGTAATAGACATACAGAAATGACCATTAAATATTTTATTGTGTATTTTATATCAGTACAAAATAATTTATATGTAAACAAATTCAACTTAAAAGATATTTGTTTTCAAACAAAAAGAGAATATGCACATATTTACAAAAATCTAATCTGAATATTATAATGATGTGATACATAGATATACATATAAAAATTAATATTATGCTGGTCATTAATATTTAATATATATAAGTCGTACAAAAAAATATGAATTGACACAAGATACGTAGTGTGTGTTATGGGTAATTTTTATATTTCTTACAATATTTTATGTATTTTATTATCTCAATTATCGAATAACTAAATATCAAACATATCCTCCTCCGACTCAGTTTCAGGCAGTGTTGGTTTTCTGGATTGTAATGTGTTCTTGGTGGTTACTTTCCCTTTAATAGTAGCAGGTCTTGACCTTGTTCCTTTTGATATCACCTGAATATATAAATTACATTGAATATTAATTTATATTTACTTAATTTTTTTAATTGAGAAAATCGGGATCATCGATCTCATTGATACAATATTTAAAATTTCTCTTACCTCAGGTTCAGTTTCAGAAGCGGTTGTTGAATTATCCAAAGACACGAATTTCCGTCTTTTACTAATTGGTTTCTTCTGTCGTATTTTATGTGAACGCTTTATCAATGGCTATCATACAAAAGTATTTTAGTGACAAAATGGATGTATGTAAAACAATATTTTTAAAGTTTAAGTTAAAATTAAAACTAGAAAAGTCAAATTTGTATATAATCCTTTTCTAGATAGATCATTACCTCTATTGAATCATTTTCCGAATCATCGTCAATATAATTGACTCGCATCTTTTTTCTACTACTCAAAAGAGTTGTATCCTTTGTTGCTTTAGGTACTTCGTCAACGAATTCTGTTTTTGTTTTTTCTGTTTCTTTTGTTTTTTGAACAATTTTAATATCGTATACACCGTCAGGATCTATACCTTCTAGTACCTTTTTAATATCCTTCTTATTACCGCGCTTTTTATCAATAACAACACCTATGGTACTTTTTCTTGGATTATCTTTTAATGTATTGCTTGGAATATCTAAATGTTTTGAACGCGGACTTTTTCTAACTCGCTCTACAAATTTATTTACTTTTTGTGGCGTAGATTTAGTAGAATGTTGTTGATTAGATGTACTTTTTAATTCTAATTTTCCATCTGGTTTATGATTTAGTTTTTTTAGACCAGCTATTAATATATCTTTAAATTTTTCATAACAGGGTATTTCATTAAACTTCATGTTGTTTAATAAAGTCATAAATTCATGTACAGCTTGTGGAACTGATCCATGGAAACACTTGTTCAGGAAGCTATTTATGTTCCCAAAAGCTTTTTCTTTCTCTTTCTGGACGGTAACTTTATCGATTAATTTCTCCCATGGAAGTGAACCACATAGCCAAAATATCATATTATAACATAAAATTTCAATATCACCACGCAGTGTTGGTACTAAAAAAAATAAAAATACATATATTTAGAACATACAATGTATGTTTTTTTATAGTTATTTTTTTTATAGTTTTTTTATAGTTAAAATTCAAAGAGAAAGATAGAAATATATTTTATTGAGTATTAGAATTGTTCTCAATTCTTACCTCCCATATGGGCATCTCTGCTTGTATACTGTAAAGTCCCATTGTGTGCCTTTTTTACATCAACTTTTAATTCAGTGCTTGTTGTACAGCGAGAAGCTAATCCAAAGTCCACTAAGTATACTTGATTATAAGATTGTAAGTCCAGTAACAAATTTTCACCTTTGATATCAGCATGTACATAATTTTTATGATGAATGTATTCTAATATATCTATCTGAGAATTCATTAAAATATTACCATATGAATTATAACTTACCCAAAAATTATAAGTTATAAAAAGACATAAAACAAATATGATAATACTTACTATTTGCAAAACTAGTTTATATACTGTATGTTCTGAGAATTGTTTATTATTTGCTTCAAAAATTTTCCATAAATCTGTTCCATATCGATCTATTACTAAAAATCGATATTTTGTATTTTTATATTCATGACTTCCAGAAGCAACATATTTAGGCATTCCAAGTGCCGTAAGATTTTTTTTTCTTTGCCAACTATTAACTAAAAAGATCTCATGATGCACTTATTTCTCAAATGTTTTATCCAAGAAAATGTTTTATTATGTTACTAATAAATATTCATTATTATAATATTTTTTAGTAAGCAAAATCAATTATATAATGGAGAATATTGAAGAAAAAAATTCTTAATTCTAAACTTACTTTCATCTGGCTTGCAATTCCTCATATAGAAATGCATTTCTACAAATAATGGACCATTTCCATGTGGTTCCTAAATTAATAGTGTATGAGAAAAATAAAAATGTCACAATTCTAGAATTAGATAATTATAATACTTACAATTTTTATAACATTGGGATAATCTTTTGGAATAGCCCCAGAATATAATGCCGCTGTAATTAATCATAATTTTGATTAGTCAATTATATAATAATACAACCTAAATTGTTAATAACTTATTATATTGTAAAATTAAATGTTCATATTTGAATATAATTGTGCAAGATAATACCAAATGCAAATATCTTCAATATAGTTATAAATAAAAATTCTTGCTAAAATATATCACAAATGGCTTGTTGATTTTTCCTTAATAACTATATCCTTGCATAATAGTATTCTTTTAAACGTATACAAATAACATAATTTATAATGATATATTATTAGTAGTAACCCGCTCTAAGTGTAAACATAATGAAACTCGTTCATTTACCAGAGTAAACTTCGCCAAAACCACCAACGCCGATCGACTTGCCAAGAATCCATTGTTTTTTCGATATGTCTGTGAGAATTTCTCCGGGTGGTAATGCCTCGGGCATTTGATAACCGTTTTTTTTACGCGGTGCTCTCTTTGCCACCTTTGCTGCCATTGCAATATGACAAACTCGTTTCTTGATTAAATTAAATTGTGATAAATATGTCGTGTGTTATGGAACAATCAGTCTGTGATTACAGATCTTGAATGTACAAAACGATTATGATATAATTATTAATTAATCATACAGTATACTCTAGCATAACGCGCCAATCTGTTTGATCACCTAACCTACAACACTGTAACAGATCATATGACAGACAACCGCCAAGATTTCATAAAAAAATTTAAATGTCGCGATTACAATAGGCACTTCATGTATACGTTAAAGCAGAAAAATAACCATAACCGCGATTTAGTAAGTATTTCATACTGAAACGCCTCTATGAACGTGGACATAAACTGCGTAGTCAATGTCTACAGATTATCTAATGGCTCCTGTAGACAGGACGCGGTAATGCTTACCGCGCGGCGGAAGTCCGCGCGACAGCTAATCAATATGTTGTTTTTCCGTAAGAGCTAGAAAGTTATTACGGAAAGCAGCATATTGATTGGCTGTCGCGCGAACTTTTGCCACGCGGTAAGCATTACCGTGTCCTGTGTGCAGAAGCCGTAAGAGTGCGAATCCATGCAGCGGAACGCGGAACGAGAGCGAAACCAATCATGAGCGTTCCGCAGTTTTTGTTGCACGGATTTTCAATCCCTAAGTATCCATGGAGCGGAATGAGCCAATCAAATCGTCCCATTTTATTACGTAACTTTACGCCGAATAAAATGGGACGATTTGATTGGCTTAACTCGGATGATGCGCGCGTGACGTACTAAGTGTGAACGCACCCCCAGAATGAGTAGCACGTAACTAAAATGACTTTTAAATTAATGTTTTATTATTCGTTTTTATTATTATGTACAAAACCCAGAAAGCATAAGATCTCCTGAGGACGTCTTAAGGACGTCTTGAGGACGAAAAAATGTCCTTAGGACTTCCTCAGGATGTACTCTGGATGATCCAAGGACATCTGTGATATTAGGGAAATATTTAATTAAATGTGTTTTGTATTGGAAATCTTTACTAAAAATGTTAAAATCTATAAAATAAGTTTTAAGGCGATTGTAACTTTTTGAAATAATGACTCATGATTGGCTGAGCAAAATCCGCAATGTACTTATTCCGCTTCATGGAGACTTAAGAGCTCCTATTTCAATGCTAAAAATTACGAATTTGTACATATATATTATGCATCCATTGTTAAATTCATGGCATAGCGGTTGTATTGAATATTAATAAACTTGGCCAGCTGGATTATTTGTTCTTCTTAATTTAAGGTTATATGAATCTACGTCTATTGTATAATAGAAGTATGCATATATTACGCAGTCTACAACAAAACTATTCCGCAGATTCCGCTAAAAACTGCTGAAAAATACGGAACGCTCGTGATTGGTTCCGCTCTCGTTTCGCTATTCCGCTGCATGGTTTGCATCCTGATGTCTCCTGTATACAGAACGCGGTAATGCTTACCGCGCGGCGGAAATCCGTGCGATAGCCAATCAATATGTAATTTTTCCGTAAGAGCTAGAAGGTTATTACGGAAAGCAGCATATTGATTGGCTGTCGCACGAACTTCCGCCGCGCGGCAAGCATTACCGCGTCCTGTGTGCAGGAGCCATAACGTTTCACACACCATTTATATGTAATCTGTTCTTTTCAGCTGCACTACTGAACTGGTGCAATAAGTTAGAGTGAGAAAACATATACTTGTCTCATTTTAACTTATTGCACCAGTTCAGCAATGTAGCTGAAAAGACAGACCAATGTTCACGCGTGAAAGGCGGTGTGTTGATTTTGACAAGTGTCAAGCTGCTTTTGAGATTTCGGTTCTACGCGAAATATGCTGATAATAATGAACAGAGTGAAACGAATCGTGACACGAAGATTGCGATTTTTATGAGACGGTGCGCACTTGAGTATAAATACGTTAAAATCTTGTCAAAAATTTACCGGAACTCGCGGCCCAGTCGTGTTTAGGTTATCTTCGTGCTCCTATATTATCCTTTTAAATGGAAGAGGTGACGGTCAACTCATCGGGACTGCGCTTAGATGGAAACAATCACATGGTCGTGTCGGGTGATAAGACACCCAGCGGGAGTGACAGCGACGCAGAACGTCAGGGTGGAGATCGCACGCCGCAGCAGTCTGAGAGATTAATCGACAATTCTATTTTTAATACCATTTCCCAAATCGTCAATCCCAATGCAAAGGTAAGTGCGCTCGTTCCCCTTGTTTTATTTTTTTGTAAGAGCAAATTTTTTCTGAGGCTCACAAGTTTTAATTTTGAGAGAATCCGGATAATATAACCTTGTAAGAAAATTAAGAGAACCATGTTTCTCATTCTTTATTTGTGCATGTATAAATCATGTAATCTATGATTTTATGAAATATATAATTGAGAGAAGCTTATCAATATTTTTAAAGTATATTATTTTGCCAGCTTCTTTGGCAGATGAAGACCTAAACTTTGTCTTATATGAAATTAATCCCAAATTGTATAATTGAAGCATGCATTCCCAAAATTTTGATTGTGAAATTATTACATGTTGTAGAAATATAAAGTATATTACTAGGCCTGCTTGTTTTAGCTGCACACTGATACTACATTCCTTGAAACTATGTTCCTTTTCTTTCTGTATAACTGATTGATTTGATATTTATTTTATCTACAAGCAAAGAGTACAATTTCTAGTTCAATCGAAAAATACAGGCTAACTATATTATAATACAGGATAAATATTACATTGTCACAATATAATTTATCTTGTTTTAACTTCACAGAAATGTAAACTTCAAACAGAATATTTAAGAACATTGCATCTCTTCGCTAGGTGCCAGAAATTGAGGACTTTAAAATAGTAAAGCCAATAAGCAGAGGAGCGTTTGGTAAAGTATTCTTAGGATACAAGAAGTCTAATTCCGAGCAAGTGTATGCGATTAAAGTGATGAAGAAAAACGAGATGATCCATAAGAACATGGCGTCGCAGGTTGTGATCGAGCGTAACGCGCTGGCCTTAACCCGCAGTCCATATTGTGTGCAACTATTTTACTCGCTGCAGACTGTCAGCAGCGTGTACCTAGTCATGGAATACATGGTGGGTGGTGATCTCAAGAGCCTGGTCGGCTTTTACGGCTATATGGAGGAATCCATGGCTGCGTTTTACACAGCAGAGATGTGTCTGGCGCTGGAATATCTTCACTCGCACGGCATCGTACACAGAGACTTGAAGCCGGACAATATGCTTCTGTCGAGCGAAGGACACGTCAAGCTTACGGACTTTGGACTTAGTAAGATATCGTCCTTACACAGGGATCTCGAGATATCGGATCTGGTGAATTGCACGCCCAACCTGTGCACCAGAACACCCGGTCAGCTCCTTTCGTTGACCTCCCACCTATCCTTCGGATCCGCGCAGAAGTCTACTAGCGAATCGAACATGAGCGATTCGAGCACACTGGCCATGAACTTGCTCTCTGCGCTGCAGAAAAACAGTACTAGACCGCAATCTTCACCAAATTCGATTATCTCCTCAGTTGCGTCTGGTGATTATTCACGAGTATCTGGTATCACGCCGTTTCAGTCGGTGGAAGATCTGCACTTGGAAGACATGGGACAGAGCACGACGAAAGATGAGAACATTAGGAACGGCGAGCGAGGCCCGCCAGGCATCGACAGCAATAGTTCTGACAGCTACCACACCTGCGAATCGTCATCCATTCAAACGAACAATCATACGATTCAGAACACAGAAGACGAGGACGAGTCTACGCTCGAGGCTGAACAATCGCAACAGCCTCTGCAAACCAGTCCACTGAGCACCTGGGTGAAATCGTTCGGCAGGGGAGCGAAGAGGAAACGACACAATGAATCTACGACGACTACCGGCTTAACGTGTGAGCTCAATGCGATGGAATTGGATGTCACCAAGACACCCAAGAGGAAGAACCGTGGCCCCTTATTCTCCGACGCGAACACGGCGGTTAACGTTACCGCGTTATCTGATAAACCGATGGACACTACGAACGACACGAGCAGCGAGCAAGACGCCAGTTCTGCAGGTCGAGTAGCCTTCAGCACCCCAGTGTCTTCCACTAAGCAAAAAAACCGCGAGAACGGAGAGCAACGGAAATACCAGGAGGAGAATGGTGCTTTGATTAAAACAACGAGATTTCATCTACCACCACCGTCCACCTCGCACTCCGCGCCAAACTTACACACGTGCGACACATCCGACGGCCATCGTTCGCCCCAGGGTATCTCGCCTATCAAAACACCCACGACTTTGAGCAACTGTTACACGCCTTACAGAACGCCGAAGTCGGTTAGAAGAGGCGGCCAGACTGCGGCTAACAGGTCGGACGATCGTATACTCGGCACGCCCGATTATCTCGCGCCGGAACTGTTGCTCAAGAAAGGTCACGGGCCAGCGGTCGACTGGTGGGCGTTGGGTGTATGCCTGTTTGAATTTTGCACGGGTGTGCCACCGTTTAACGATGAGACGCCGCAAGCGGTATTCAACAACATCTTGGCACGGGATGTACCGTGGCCCGAAGACCAGGAAGCTCTGTCGTCAGCGGCGACTGACGCTATCGACGCACTGCTCACCTTGGACCAGGCGACGCGTCCTTCGGCAAAGGAGGTCCGTGCCATGACTCTCTTCCGGAATTTTCCCTGGGACGAGCCGTCGACAGCCACGCCGCCTTTCATCCCGCAGCCGGATGATAAGTACGATACATGCTACTTTCAAGGTATGTTGTACTTCATGTCACACCATTGCCGCTTAAGGAACGATACTATAATGATAACGGCAGCATAATTGTGCTTCGTTGGCTATGTAGGTTGTGATCATGGAATAGAATAGAAAGAGAGTACATAAGCAAATTTCTATTATATTGTACAATTTTTTTGTTTTCCTTTTAAAATTTAGTAGTATTTTTTTCTCTTACGCGGTATTGTTTCTTAAATAATATCGTCGATACCATCATATTATTCGGTCATCGATTACAGTCGACACCATTGATGGTATCGACGACTAACGCGGGAATCTTTTTTTTTTCCAGCGAGAAATATTCTCCAACACTTGAATGTAAGTCAATGCGATACGTAGTCTTCGATGGACGTGGCAGGAATGGAAGCCTACAGTATCGAAATATTACTATATGTAACTTTATTCTCTTTTTTTTATATGTACTTGTGTATGTATAGTAGTATAAAATACTTTGTCAGTACGTGAAATCGCGCGAGCTTGCGTTCGTTTTCTTACAGTAAATGGATGATGATGGTATTATTTAGCGATGAGAAAGCGTACATAGAGCACGATGATATGGAACTTGAGACGAGTTGAAACGTTCGCATCTTGCATAATTAAAAGGAAAAAAAAAGAAAATGACAGTCACACTTCCTCGAAAGTGTGACCACGTGTTGCTGCTTTCGAAACACGAAAGCATATCTCTTTTTAATACCGCTGTAGGAAGCTCTATCTTTGTTAGGGCTCGAGAGTTTTTTATCACATTTTTCGAAGCGAATGCGGCGAATGCTGCGTTTTTCGACAAGCCTTCTTGCGGCTGTGCGAATCAGAGGCAGTAGATTATTGTATCCTCTATTTTAGATTTTTATAAATCCACGGTAAAAAGTGCGTCACTCTCGTGTATACGCCTGGATATTGTCCTTTACCGCAGCCTATTCCCCATGATACAATGCCAACTTGCTTCCAACGGCCATCATTAATCATTAGAGGGCCTCCACTATCGCCCTGTAGATAAATATAGAAATGCAATGTTATTAATTTTTATTATGAAATTTTTGTATACATATAAATATTAATTGCAGTCCGTAATTTATTGCGAAATAAGATCACCTGATTTTCACTAAATTTCGCCTTTTTATGGAATTAATCGATAATTTTAGACTAAGTAATAAATTAATTTTGCTTTCGTCCAGGAAAACTCATCAATATATCGCATTCAGGGTTACTATGTTATTTACATTAAAAAAAATTGTTCGATAGAAAATTATCAAACGGATACTTTCGATTAAAACTTGATCAAATACCGATTAATTTTTATAATCATTATAATCAGGGAACATTCGATGAGAAATATTTATTTTTGATTGGACATCAAAATTGATCGGAATTTAATCGGAAATATCCGTTTGACAATTTTTTTGTCAATTAACGTCTCTCAGTGCAATGACCGCGATATTTAGAGCGACAAATGTAAAGTGCGAATACCAACCGAGCATGAATCCTTAGCGGCTTGACCAGCACACAGGAAGCTATCAACGATTCCTCCCGGTGCTGCTATACCATATTTTAATTTGCACTCGCTATTTGACCAAACCGGGATTGAAACCTCCTGCAGAACCGCTGGTTGCACCCCACCTGATAGAATACAATAAATTATATTGTTAGATTCTTTTACGCGTTATATTTTTTCAACAAAAGAAATATTCCAATTAATTAGTGAATAGTCGCGCTTGTGAACGCCTTATGTAGAAAATAATTTTTTTTCTTGCGTAGCGACTATGCAAATTCATTCTTTAGAAGATACAAATGAGGGCACTCGAAGGTATACGTACACAGATGTTAATCGCACACTCATTATTCTAAGTTAAAGAACTCTCTTTTGTCGACGTGACTACTCGCTGAACAACTTTCCGGTTGAAGTCGTATTAGCATAACGTTCTTCTTACCTTCCCTCAAAGAACCCCATCCGATGACGGTCGCTGTCTTGCCGGAGTACAGTTGTGATCCGCTAGGAAGACAAATAGGTCGGATTTGTTCGGTGAATTCCACTGGTTCGTTCATCGTGAGGAGCGCCACGTCGTTGTAAAGAGTTTGAGCGTTGAAGCCCCGGTGTCTCACGACTCTTCGTATGCGTTTTTCGATGTGACGAATCTCTGTGTTCGTCTTGATGTTGTAGTCACCGATGCGCACCGTCAATCTCGCCACGTCCCAGGAATTCATGTTGGCGACGCAGTGTGCCGCCGTTAGGATGTGTCGGTCGTTGATGAGCGATCCGCCGCAGAATTGTCGTCCAGCGTTGAATAGCCCGGCAATCCACGGCCATTCGCCTGGATCCGCGGGCTTGCCACCAACAATTCGTTCTTGATCCTGGTTGCCGTTTTTCGCGCCGCATTGCGACATGTTGATGCTCGAGCTAGTGACGGGGGGCAGCTTGCTGGTCGTCGGTGTGGTGGTCGCGGCCGGCCACCAGGTCGGCTTCTTCGTTGGCCACGTAGTAGCGGAACCGGGTTTCTTGGAACTCGTGGTAATCGGCTTCGAGGTGGTGTGCGTCGACAGACCAGGCGAGGGTGGGTGAGTTGGTAGTGGCGGTATCGTGTGATGCGGTGGGTGCGTGGGAATCGGTGGTGGCCAAGTAGGTGCAGCCTGAGGACGTGCTGCTACGTGCGTGCTCTCACCTTTCTTCTTATTATCTTCCACCTGAAATGATTGCGATGTATGATTGGACATGCAATGAAAGAGATTGGCAGGATGGAAAAACGTATTTAGATTCTTCATCAGACAGACTGTTTCCAGTCTTACTTGTTTGAATAGTCTCTCTTTTTTTCTTTACTATTTTGAGAGTACGCACGAATGTCGAGTAATTTATTACTCGCTTTGATGACTTTGGTGAAGAAGATCACTCGCGAAATTGTATCGTTGAATTCGCGCGCGGCAAGGACACTCATTTTTAAGCTGAATGCAACGGATATTAATGTAATTCAGTAGCTTCTACCTGCGGTTCTTCCACGATCGCGGAGTCGCAGTTGTCAGGATGGGGTGTGACGGTCGGTTGCAGGTTCGAGCAGCATATTCCAAAACTCATGTGTCCATCTTCTCGCACATAGCTGCACGTATCGTAAACGCCGAGTACCCAGCCGTCTAAAGCACCGAGATCAGGAATCTTGAAGTATGGATAGCACTCTTTGAAGGTCGTGCAACGACCGACCTCGCCTTTCGAGGTCAGACAAGTCTCGCGGGTTGCAGCACCGCTCCAGAGAATTTCTCGACCTTCTCTCGATGCGGACTGGCTCGGTTCGATTGCGGCTGCAAATTGAAATTTTACGTAACCGTTTAATTAAAGTTTCTTTAATCTTGTGAAAAGCGTATAGAAATTCTACATGATGATAAAAGAGAAAAATATAATTATCTGTATATCTTGTATCGTGGGTATTCTATCTGCATGATCTGTCATTGCTGCCATTCACATGGATACATCTTTTCTTCTAGCTCTTTAATTCAATTAATCGTCCGTTGAGGTATGTTATTATATCCATCGTAGAGTCAGAATATATAAAGCGTATTTACGTACTCGAGAATGTTTATTTTGGCATGAAAATGTTATTATTAATGTTAATATCTAGACGACACGCGAAGTATCTTTTTCACCTCAAGTAGAAAAATTGAAATAAAATTTTGAACGTTGTTTCGAGTAACAGCATGGGAGTAATTGCATGGATTAAATTGCTATTACGAGCATGTACTTCTGTCTGTGCCTTCATCTAAACACTGGTATGAAAAAAAAACAAATCATATGATATAATTGAGTTGTATATTGAAATAAATTTAAGAGAGTGGAGGATGAAAAACTCGTAGAGTTATCAATTTCGACATTTTGACGAGAAGCTGATCAACAGGAATTATTTATAAAGCACGATCGACTTGGTGTCAACCTTGTTGTCTTGCCGTTCGCGCAACATACGCACTACGCAGTTGCCGATCGAAACATAATAAAATTCCATCGAGATACTTCGCGGCGAGTTCGCTGACCTACGAGTCACACTGGTGCACACGTACATCAAAGGTGAGGAGCGCGCCGGGAGAGCTTCCGGTCGCCGTGTATGGGACGCGCGCGCCAACGTTCATCGTTCGTTAATCGTTATCCGATGTGTATTGCATCTGCTGGGGGAATTTCGCGATCGTCGACGAGGAAAGTGAGAATACCTAGGAGTCATTGACTGTGTAGTCAAGAGATTACACACAGAGGACCGACGTGCCGTTGTTTCTGACTAATGATCTCAAGATAATTGATGATATAATAACAGATGATAAAAAAAGTTGTCGGAGCGGTCGTTGTGAGCGGAATATGAAACAGAAGACAGGATCGTTTTTCACAGTCGGCGACTGATTTAATCGTACCTCATGCTAATGGCAGTGAAACATTCCACAAACATTATTATTATTTTTTTTCGAGAATTAATTAAAACGAAGTATGAAACGTTCCTTCTCTCTCGTTGCTCGATGACAATCAGGAACATTTAATCGCGATGACTGTTAAGACTGTAGTCTTAATTTTTCTCGTTAGCATTATTTTCTTCGGAACTAAGCTGTGCAAGCAAAAAGCCAAAATAGATAGAATTCTACAAAACTCTCAAAGAACTGTCCAGTGACTTTGGATTTGTGTAATTCTCTAATCTAAGCTATCTGTGAACGAAACGAACGAACGAGAGATCACGAGGAATATTCGCGTGCAGACCAAGCTGTATCATAAGAACCAGGGATCTGTCCGGACGAGGAGCGCATGTAAAATAGAATACGATCGATACTGACCTTCGACGATCACGGCATCGTCCTCTTCCAGCAGATGAGTGTCATCGGCCGGCTTGTAGCTCCGTGATCTGGATACCGACGCGACAGGCGTTTCGGGCACGTTCGCCGCGATTACCTGCACTACGAGCACCAGCACGATCAGCGCGAACGACGGCAATCCGCGTGGCCGACTCATCCTAACCAGGAGGATCGTCGTCCTGCGAGAAGGTGCTTCGAGAGGCACCGCGAGCAAAGAGCAACGTACGGAACGCGAGACTTTAGGACGATCACCACGTGTGCAAACGCCGGACGAGGATCTTGAGGAGGACTCCACTAAGCCGCCGCCAGGCTGCTGAATAGCCGCTGCTCGAGCTTATAACGGGCTTGCCCTCCCCTCTGGCGCTCTCTGGTGCTACTCTCTGCCCCCGGTGAGCTCTTCCGTGGCGGAACGCACGAGGTGTTTCGCGCTCTTTTCTTCTCTTGCTCTTTTATCACCACCTCGAGCCATCCGCTCCCGTAGAATGGCCGCAGGGTAGACGATGGACGGAGAAGAATCGCGCCAGAGATCATTGGGAGAGACAAGACCCTCCCAATCCTCTCTCGGTTATTTATACTACGCGAGGGTGAAGTATTTCCTGGAGCAGAATCCACTATGAAAGCAGTGTTCGGTCATCTCCGTTCTTTGCGTCCTTACGACAATGACGACATAATAAATTAAATTATTTTTATTAGAACTGAAATATAGGTGTCTCATCTTATTAGATTTTATCGTGATTTCCCCTTATTCGAAACGCAATGCGAACGTCCGAATCCTTCTCAACACAAAAACGAAATAACATGAGGGCTGTCTTTTCTGCGATATATATGCGAAACAGGGAATCGTGTTGCGACATCAATATATAATACATTTTGTACAATGTGCAACAATATATTCGCACATTTTGCAATGCGATTCTTTAACACCTCGTAAGACAATTACGCGATTTCCTCGGGAAAGATCGATTTGCGATTTGAATATATAATACGCAGACGATAATATTCATTCGTGTGAATGGGATTAAAGTTATCTTGATTATGTAAGTTGTATGATGGAACCGGATCGATCGGTCTTCGATCACGGTTCGTGTCCAGCTTGAATGCCGCGCACTGGCATTTGCATAGAGAGCACGATCCTCCGCTTGGCCTTGAAGATGCCAAGAGAAGGCTGCACGTAAGGGACGGCCGTGAACTTGCTTACCGCGTGATCCCCGTGCGCCTTCGTTTATCCCGACAGTACGTATTTATGCATTTCCTTCCGCCGACGATGAATATAGAACCATCTCTCCCCCAGCGACCTCCTCCGCCGTGGTATCTTTTTTCCATCTCGAAGGTGCTTCAGCTCCGCGCCTCTTTTTGCGCACGGCTCGCGTCGTTTGTTGAACATCATTGTACGCTGAACTAACGACGTTACGCGCACTCTATGACAGTGAAGTGTATTGATGCAGAGGTATGCGTTAAATAAATAACATAAAAAGAGAAAAAGAGAGAAAAAAATATAATAAAACATTTTTGTTATTTGCACGAAGCGTATTCTACAATTTTGCAAAGTATTATATCGCGCTCGCTGCATCGCAGGTGACCTTCCTCGCTGAGTGTGAAGAGCGCTGAAAGCGAATTCAGTCCATTAGAGGACGGGATCTTCGATCTTTTTGCGTTAGGTATAAACAGTACCTTCCGCGCGCGGGAGAGCGAAGGAGCGGAGGCGCTCGGACCTTGAAGTGTACGTCAGGGTACTGCGATACCTAGGGTCGACGAACTGCGTCCTAAAGGGTGGAGAGGGAGGCAGAGGGATTTTAAATTCGCGCGTTCTTTGACCGGACAGCTAATAACCACTTGCCGTCGACATCCCGGCAGAGGCTTTTTTGTTGTCGCTCGTAAATGAGGGCTTGGTAATCGATAAAGACAGCGGTATCTGACTCGCCAAACCGGACCCCGCCGAAAATACGAGCGTATTACCAGTTCAGAAATGAACGGGCGATCGTGGGTGGCTAGACCGCGGATCTCGGATCTTCGTCGGCCTGTCGCGTGCATTTGCGATAGACATGATTGTCTATCGAATGTCGTTCGTGTCTATTATCGGTGTATCGAGATACACGGAATTCGCAAGAGATATTGACGCGCGAAACCCGGCCGTGTCGTATGAGGAAAGACTCGTTCGATCTGGAAACCGTAAGCGAGGTTCAATGTTCTTGTTTGAGTCGCCGACCCCTGTTATTAGGGGAACATATCCGGCGATACTTCAGCGTGCGCATGCAATAAAATCCGTTTCGAGGATTCGTATTGGCGCTACGGCAATATTGCTGGGCCTCGTTAGATTCTTCCTCCCAAAATATGCAAACCGGTTGGGTCGGGGTTGCTCATAATCAAGCGGGAGATATCAAAGTGGGGGGCTCGTTATGCTTCTAACGACGTCATTCGGGAAGAAAGGTCTATGCAAGGAAAAAAAATCCGCACACGCCCGGGGTTGGTGTGCAGATAAAGAGAGGTTGAAGAAATTCGCCTCTCAACTTTAGCAAGTCGGACCTGTTAACTTCAGAAATAATTTCATTACACGTGTGTATGCAAAATGTTTAAAATATAGCTCGAATTTTACGGCGAAGCTGGTTAATTTTTATTTGAACGTATTCAATGAAAAAGAAATTGACCGATCCGATTATTCCTTTGCGAGCATGATGCGAAGTGTTTCGTAAGGTCGATGAGGCGGAAATTTCATTTCTTATTGCACGCTTTATTATTGCTATTCCTCATAGCGCAATATCTAATAAAATGGACAATAAAATATGTTCACTTTCTAACACCGTTAAACTCATACGTATGATCGTTCGCGAATATCCGAAGCGTTGAATTTGATTACCTTAGGATCCTAATCGATTCGAGTTAGATAATACCGATCTCATTGAGTCTATATTCAAGTGTATAAATTGTAGCAATGATGTGTAGGCTGTTATAACGGCCTCGCGCAAAAAATCCGATACCATCTTGATGTCCGCGATATGCCAATTCAATTTTATCGGCTCAGCAGCCGGCATGCTTTTTTTACGAGGTTTATTAATATTTATATGATTTATCTCCCCTCTTTTTCATTTTTTTTCTCTCTCTCTCTCTCCTTCTTATGTGCGCGCTTAGTAGTTGATGTAATCCGAATTGAATTAATGTAACATGTTGGAGCTCTTAACTTAAAGAGCACTCTAATTATAAGTGTGCGTATGTGCGTGATCGCTATAAATCTCACGCACTTAAGAAACATAATAAGCTAATGAGCAGGCTGTATTATACACTTTAGGAGAATCAAATCCATTGAGAAATAACAATTTTTCAGAACATAAGAAATTCAAATCGCGTCTTATTTTCGAAGAAAAATATCGCGATAAAAACCACTCAAGACCACTGCGACGGAACTTCTTTCGTCACAAACATTCGCATGTGCGTTTCGCAAACTACGTTCTACCTTGGCTGATTGATACTACGCGATTTCTCTCGCGTGAACAAAACGGAGGAGAGACACGTGTATGCCCAAAGAACTATTATAACTTACGTCAGGGCCAGTGTCCCCCTACAAGGTCCTGGCACGATCGTCACGATGCTTGCATACACACCAGTGACTCTTCTAGCTGATGATGATAACTATCCAAGTCGCGCTGTAACAACTTACTACCCTCCGTTCCCCTACCTCTGCTTGCGTCTGAGAAAATACGCGAGCTGCATCCCATAATTAAGGCGCCAATTAATTCCCCCTCCTTAGTTCTTATTCGCAAACTGATCTCGTATCTCAGAGAAACGTGAAGAGGAAGAAGAACGTCTCGCTAATCAGTACTTCAAGACTTCGAGGAATGAACTGTCAGACTACCTGTCGAAGAAAAAAAATAAGAGAAATGAAATGGATTGAAAGAAATCTATAAAAATTTATCTTCACAAATCTTCCCGATTATCGCCAATTATTTCTAAAGTTTCTCCATAAATTGGCTTGAAATAAGTTGGAACATCCGGCTTCCATCTCTCATCGATGAGCGATTATAATAACACCGCAATTCTGACTGGTTCGTGATCGATGGGGATTAAATGTAATGTTCTCGTCATCGAAGTAGATGACATTTCGCATCGCGTTCCGTTACTCGATCCACCGTGGGATAACGACGCACGCACGCTCGTCCATCGCTAATCGTACTGGATGTGTCATGTCAGGTTTTTCGGATAAGCGATTCCATCGAAGTGTCTGCTCGGACGGCTCGTTAAGGTACGTCAGCCGTGAAATGCGCGCGGACCCTTCTGAAAGTGGTCGGACGTCCTCCGACACGTTGGTTGATTTTACGGTGCACTCTCTACATTCTTTCTCTAAGACGCGGAATCTTCTTTATCTTTCTTTATAGGTTTCAACGCTCGGAATTCCTTTTTCCTTTCTTTTTTCTTTTAAATTCCTCGCCAACTGGTTTCCTCCGCGGGCGTCGCTTCGCAGCAAATCACGGTCTTCTTGGCGCTACACGAAATGAAACAGGACAGGAGTGCGCGAATCCTGTAAGGAGAAATGATGAGGTGAACGATGACGACGCGAGTCTCATTTTCTGGACAACGTGTCCGAGCTATGAACATACGCGATACAACGAGATTTGATTTTTACATTTTCGATGTAATAAAAGGATTACTTTGTCTGGCTTCCGGATTGGCTTCCGGATTGGAAAAAGCGAAGTGGGATGCAATCGCGAAACGTCAAAAACGAATCCACGGAAGCCAACCTGGAAGTCAAGCCAAAATATCAATGAAGATATTTTTAGTTATTGACTAAAACGTAATTACACATTACATGTTGTTAATATGTTGAAAACATTAATTTTTGGCTTATTATTCAATAGAAACCTGAAATTCACAATGTTTCGCGAGTATTCTACTTTATTTATTTAAACTTTCTTCAGTAGAGAAATGACCGGATATTTCTAATCTTACATACGAGTATAGATGCAACGACAGCGATGAAACAAAAGACGTGTGATTTATAAAACGTACTAATATAATATTTATTGTTGTAATGAACATCGTAATATAATATAATATCACCTCTGGCACAATCTCACGATGGCAAGACAACGCGACGGAAGAAAAACGTTCGTACTTTCGGGATCTTCTCTCATCCTACCCTTCACGGCTTCTCGCTACCAAATTGATTGCGACAATCTCGACCCGGTTGTTCTGCCGGGCAATAACGGCTTTTATGCATTCTTCTATTTCTAACAGTAAACCTAAAGCCCGCTGGCTCTCGTTTCACGTCGCTGTTTTACGTCGTTGTTTTAAGCTTATGATATCGGGACGGTCTGGAGAGATCGTCGCGGCGGGACCGCGATCGCGCGACCCAGGTACGCGAGTACACCACGCGGAGATTTCGGCAAGTTCCGTAAACGCGGAAATACGGAAACGGTGAGACTGACGACGCGATTCTCGCTGGGCAACCGGCGATATCATCCGATCGCGCGCTCGACGTCCCCTCGCGACGCCGACTCATCCACGGCTCTCATAACGTAAGTAATAATATTAATAATCGTGTAAAAATGGATAATAAAGGTGATACTATTACAATAAAATGGCTTGATGACCCAGCCGTTTGTCCACGTAACGAGTCGTATCTTCCGCCTCATTTCGAGATGCAACGGCAGCGGTTGGAGGGTATGGGTTGATGGAGGGGAGAGGATATTGTGATTATACATAAAAATGTCATGGACCAAAGCGCTAACCAACAATTTCGGTCTGTAGATCTATCTCTTTCTCACTTTCTCTCTCTTTTTCTTTCTTGCTTTTTCTCTATCTATATCTATCTCCTTTTCTCTTGCGGCATTTTCCTACACAGGCATTCCGGGTTATCTCATACATACGCGCTCTTTCTCTCGATCCCTTTCTCGCTTTCCAACTTTCTTTCTCTAGTACTCGTATTCTCACCCAGTACAGACACGCACATCTCGTGTATAAAAATAATAATATTAATATATAATAATAATATATAATAATATATGTCTTAAGTAGAATAAAATCCATAATATTAATAATATCAATCTATATATGATGTCTGCAATAAATGTAACAAAATAGTCCTCAAGTATACAAATACTCAATAATATAATGCATTTTACAAGCGTATTTTGATCGTTGCTTTGATATCGGTGTACGTACGTACGTATGATTAACGCAAAACAAGAGAAGTGTGTGTCGTGATTATTCCGCTCTAATCTAACGTCTCTGACGTAACTGACAACAAGTGTTTGTACGTTCTCTTGTGTTCGTTTTCGTGTATGTGTATATGTGTGTGTGTGTGTATGCTCGTGAATGCGGACGTGCGGTAGATCGATGTACGCGTACGTCTCTCTTTCTCTCTCTTTCTTTTGTATGATTCGCGTGTGTGCGTTTATATATTGCATACGCGCACAATCGTGCCGCACGATTGCGCGACGTAAGCTGGCAAGTGGCTCGCTTTCACCGGTGGCACATTAACGTTACTTCACCCTACAAACTACATAACCACAGGTTATTGGTACTGGTATCGCTTACGGTCGTCTCTCGCGTCTGTGGGACGCGCGTCGACGATATCGCGATCTCATTATCTCTCGATTAGATCGTTCTCGCTGTAATCAATGCGAGCTTCCAGCCCGCACGGGTTTCGAATCAACGCCTCGGAAGTAGAAGGACCGCTGACCTTGAGCGATTCTTTTAATTTATCCGAATGACACGATGATATTTTAGCAATTCTTTATAAAAAGACATTTGGAACTATGTCTTTCTATGCTTCAAAAATAAGACGATCATTCCGCGACGAAATCAACGACACGTTTCTTTTTCTTTAGAAAGAAACAATATCGATCGTTCTAGTTCCGAGATATCGATTTGCTGTCTTATCGCTTAACGTCTGGACCGGGATCCTGCAAGAGATTACACTACGGATATGGATTATAGCATGATTATGTGTTACTCTTATTAGTCTTAAGACTTAGAATAAAGTCGTGGCTCCTCGATGCCATTACGAGTGAGTGACGCGCGGCAGAGAATGCGGCGAGAAGAATGGGGGCGATCTGCCTACGGATTCTTTTCCGACGCGCGATTATTTCCGCCTGAGACGGGGGATTATTCGCGCGACGAGTGGTAGATGATACATTATATAACTGCGCAACGTCTTGGTGCAATCGCGTGAGTTACGCGCGTTGACACGTCGCAACGCTCGCAAATAAGAAACTGTAAAAAGTCTCGTTAACGACGGGGTAGATGGGAAGAAACTATCGATTAACTTTTTTACCGGGGAGAGCTATTAGTGAAGCTACTTACGATTCCCGATCGGAAACGCGGGTTTCTTAATCTCGTCCGTGTCTTTGGGTTACGCGATGTAACAAACGGCAATAGTCTCCTCCGATCACAGCGTGAGATCATCGTAGAATTTAGCGCTAACTCTATTTAGTTCCGAGTTGATTGCTAAATAAGTACAACCTTCTAATCAATTCTGTTTGTAGTATTAAGAAAAAGAAAAAAAAAAACTGTCTGAACTTGGATACGTAGCGTGGTAGTTCGGTAACTTGCCCGGTATTCAAAATTTTTCGATGACTTCGTGTGCAAATTGAGTATAAAGTGTCGAAAAAAATTTTTTTGTGTTCTTATGTCGATTTTTCGTCAAAATAGCGTCCGGCATCCGTTTTTCACCGGGCGCGTGATGTAATCACCCAGATAGGTGTACGCAAATTTGACGGCAACTTTACTATACGATTTGCAAAAGTTTCCAGAGAGACTTTCATGATTATCACAACATAGACAATCGATGATGGAAACTTTACAATTCTTTTAATTACATTTATATTTACACAACATTGTCGATGGTTCTAACGGATTTGCCGCTTGTCGATACCTCCGCGTAGAAAAGTCATAGTGACACGGGATAAGTTGCATTTGAAAGTTGAGACCGTCCTTCTTCTGATGAAGGAATGACCGTTTCTCTATGTTATCGATTGTCAATTTTGATCTATCAATACGTCGCTAAATCTAATTTCTTAATCGCCGAATCAAATTTTTAAATCCGACACAAGACACTTCGACACATGTACGCAGATAGATCACATCAAACTGAGTAAAAAGGCATCTATCATTTCTTAAACAACCACATTTTGGGATATTAATAAAAGTAGATTAGCGAATCAGTGCGCGCGACGCTTGAGACGAGCTCTGTAAACGTTTCTTAGAGACACGCGTTACAACATGCTCTCCCGACACATCGAAAAACAATTATCTCCGCGCCGCTCGCATCTTCAGTTGTCAAACAATAGCCACCGTCACTGATAGACATTCTGTATATAAAATTTCGAATCTAAATTTTCTTATGTAACTTTCTGGATGCAGAATTTGACCGAATATCTCAAACTAAAGGTAAATCTGAAAGTAAAAGTGCAATTTCGATTTTGATTCGAGCGAGCAGAAAAAAAATTGCTCTTTTATTACCGTGTAATGTCTGACTATCTTTTACGAGTATTAACTTCTCCGATGAGATCCAGGTGTTTGTTATATTTTCGCACAATTTAGCGGGATCAACAAATCGCGCGTCTAAATTTTTTTACTGACGAGGGTCAAGTGTAGATGCAGAGAGGCACGACAGGGCAAGCAACGATTTCCCGTGTCGTTGACTAATACGCGTCGAAATGTTATTTGTTTATCGTGGAATTGCAACACGCGCATTGTGATGTATATACGAGTTGTCGGCTTTCGAGGTGATAATTCGCGGAGTTAATACCGACAAACGCAGTAAATGCGACGTGCGTTGTTTCTTCATTGAAGAGAAAACACGCGAACAAATTAAGAGCCCGTACATCGGCTAACGTACGAATTAGTAAAGAGTGAGTGGTTCATGTCTCATACACACCTACATATATACGTCATACGCATACTTAACATATTCTCTGGGGCTTTCTTAAATCAATTTTGATTGATTTACATGGCGCTCGCGCTTGTCGCGCGACGCATCGTGTATCCTAAGCTTATAACCATCGACATAAATTGTTTACAGAGCGAAAACAAACAATATAAAGTAACGAGTCGCTTCGTACGCGGCCGTAGCGACGTGTATGTGTACTCTTGCACATTCGACTTGCTCGCCGAGTCGAAGCCCGCACGTCTATGAGCCCTTACAAGCCTTAAAAAACTCAGACGATAATTAACCAAGTGTATCCGTCAAACGTCCTGAAAACTATCCGTCCGTCTAGCCATATTACGAAAAAGAGAAAAGAAAATACATCTCGGCTCGGTCTATAACGTTATAGTATGATTACACGAACGGAGCCCAAGCTGAAGCGACGTCTGATGTTCGAAATCGTTTGAGGTCCGATGTCCCGCGGTGTCCTCTTGATACCTCTCCTTCTTTCTTACTCTCTTAAAGTCGTCGCCGAAAGCTGATTAGCACGTCGCCTCTCGTCGTCATCTCTCGTTGCCTCCTGAGGCGACGAACGTTCCTGACGAGGCCGTTGCCCGCTGAAGCCGTACGAGAATTGTCTTCAACGCGACGCGGAAGACTCCATCCAGTGATGATCATTATATTCAGCTCTCCCGAACGAGCGTTCCTCGCGACAGTCGCCTACTCACAGGCGTATATTATATACACGATTGAGAATGAACTCCCTCTGTTCTCGAGTTCACGTGTTGCCGTTGTCGTGCACGTGCGTATGTGCGTGCGCGGAGTTGGCGAGAGGTGAATGCGGTAGATGCGGCGGCGATGAGGGCAGCTCGATGAGAGTGACGTCGTACCCGGCCGTGGTGGGAGGATCTCCCGGGTCGTTGGGGTCGCTCGGCGAGCCCGGATTGTTCGGATTGCGATCGCCGCTCGGGTCCGGATTGATCCGCGAGTGGCTCACCTCCAGCAGAAATAGGTCCTCATCGACGTAATACCGGATCATGTCGTCATCAATTTTCGCTGTAATTCTGCAACAGGGTAGGCGAGACGTTCTCGTTAAATCACCTCGCGACTAGCGGCGATTCGGCGGCCGGAAGCCACCGCGACGGTGGCGATATCGCGTTCATTCTGTAGGACGCGATTGAGTTTCGGGTTGGCATGCAACGCGCCGACTTTAACCGCTATAACATGTGATGCTTGACGCTCAGCGAGCTGTCACGCGCGATTTCCGTCACGTACGACTGGCGAAGCGTCGCGACGCCGTTGCGATCGGCGATCGCGATAAGTTTCAGCGCAAACGGCTTCGCGAAACTTTTTCGACGCAACAGATTACTCTCCTTCCAGTATTTCATATCTGCAAATAAAGGAGATCAGTCAAACGAATAGATTTTTCGTCATTGACAAGAAATCATCACAATATCGTAGCGGCGAAACGACGTGAATATTCTGTTGCGGTGGATCTTTAATGTCTCCACTTTAACTGGGATTTTCTCGATGGAAAAACATTGAATCGTAAAGTTCGCACCGCGCTGCGCGTAGCTAGAGAGAAAGAGACAGAGAGAGAGAGAGAGAGAGAGAGAAAGAGAGAGAGTGAGAGAAAGAGAGACTCGATTTTACGACGTGAGATATATCGAATAAACGAAGAGTAACTGTTCGAGGAAAACGGTCGAGAGGAATCCGCCGTGCGTAACCATCGTATAAGGTAAACGGGCAAAACAAAGAATCACACAACAGCCATGCGGGACGCGTGATGCGACATTATGCGAGGCAGGTAAGCGAGTGCACGAATGCTCATGACAGAAGGCAGAAGACGAGAAGTGTAAAGGATTAGTGGATTAATCGGACGAGATATGCGGTCAACGTGCGGTGACAAACAACATGCGCGTTAAGGTTGGTGATTGAGATAGAGAGTGATTTTAATGACAGCATACGCGATGACACATTCGGACGTATATCGCGCGGAGAAACGTATCCGAAATACAATTAAAAGAGGCACGATCATAGGCGAGAGGGAAAGAGTGAAAGAGAGAGAGAGAGACTACCAAACCAGGCGGAGAGAGTCAGGCAATGTCACCGTTATGGCATGCACTACGTAGGCGTGCATGCAAGTAAAGATGACACTCTACTAAACTTACCCCTTTGTGTTTTTGCGATAGAGGTTATTAATACTCGAGGATGCAATTTTGTACTTTGACTCAATCTGTAAAATAGAAAAAAGTAGAACATTAGAATTTTGATAGTGGTTTGCGGACCGTCGTTCGTTTCACTCTTGCGTACGAGAAAGTACTGCGAGACGCGCGTAGGTAGGTAGACGCAATTCACCGCGAGGAATGACAGAGAGAAAGACAAAGAAAGAGAGACAGAGAAAAAGAAACGAGAAGAAGAGAAAATAAATACAGAGACATACAAATAGACAAGATAAGTAGAAGATATAATAGCAAAAATAATTAACAAACAAAAGAATATTCATGACGTACAGCCGTCGTCGCGATCGAGACAAAAATCGATTAGCGCAATCAAGAGAGGAACGGGAGATTTGTTCGCGGAAGGAGAAGATGCGCGATGGAGAAGAGAAAATAGATTGTTAAGAGAGAAAGATAGGTTGAAAAGGAGAAAGAAAGAGAAAGAAGGTGTTTCTTTCCACTTTTTTCTTCCGCCGGTTTTGATCGGTGTAACGCGCTCTTATGTCAACGTTTGATAAGTCGTCGACAATCTCACACACACCCACGAAGGGAGGGGTAATGATCGTACGTCTTGCACTTCGATATTATATTAATGAGGATCTTGGACAGTGGACAGTGATGCATGCGCATTAATATTAATTAGCGAGTGAACCAGTGCGAACGGATATTAATAATGGCGCAGTATGCTTTCACATGCATGGGTAATGTACTCTCATGAGAC